AAGTATGTACCGCTAACGGAATGACCAAATGAATACTCGATTCGTCGATCGATACTGATCATAATATGTTATTAACCGGCGGAATAACAACTGTTATGACTACACGATTACTCGATTGTCTGGTCCAGACTCGATTATTAACAGACCGACGACATATAGCTTGAATATTTCCAGATTGAGGCGTTAAACAACAAACAAACAAAAACCATCATTTTTCTACGAAGTATTTGGGCAACGATATTATTTGGCACAAATATCACATGTTTTGCCTTTCCAAAACAATCTTTTCAGCACAATTACTCTCCAACTTCAGCACCAATATTTACATTTTGGACCATATGTCCCAGGAATCCATGTGATATGCTCATCAACACGAGCCTTCTTCCTGCCCAAATCAAAGATTGGGATCTTTGGATCTGGGACACCACGGCAAAACCTTGACTTAGGATAGGGCTTGTTTTTACAGTAGCGGTAGCAACGGGCTGGTCGTCGCCCCATGTTTAATCTTCGAAGGAAAATATTACAGTAGCGGTAGCAACGGGCTGGTCGTCGCCCCATGTTTAATCTTCGAAGGGAAAATATATATAAACTTTGAAGAGAAGTATATATATATAAATATATATTATATATATATATACATATATATATATATATATATATTTTTAATGAGGGGGTGGGGGGGTGGGGTTGTGAGAGGTGTGGGGTTGGGGTGGGGAGGGTGGCGACAACCATTATTGGCATGAGTATATATGATTACATCGAAGATTGATTACTCCACTAACTTGGGGGAACCAACTGCAAACTTTATGCAGCTGGATTGCACGAGGATCATTCATCAAGTTGCTGAAAAGCATGTGCAAATATCGTGCATGTGAACAGCTGCGTTGTGGTGTAAAGTTTTGTTAAGAACTGTCAATTGTCACTGATTTTCATCATTTACTGAACTCATGACAATAATCTTTTCAACGTTACGAATTTGTTTTACAGTACATCAGTTCATGTGCAAACAGTACCTTTAAACAGTATGGAATATTTTGCAAAATTTAGTAAGTGGCTATATTTACACTAGTGAGTCTAAACTTTCAATGAGAAGTATGAAAGAAAGATGTGAGGTCCTGTATGGAAAGTGACCATACCTATAAACAATGAAAAAACTATGAACTTCTTTTCAGGTGATCTGTAGAAACTGATATAAGGGGCATTGCATCGAAGAGTATTGTTCTTGTTCTGTGTCTTTAATGTTCTTGTTACTGTAGTGTAATTTCACAATACTTGACTTACACCTGATGCCGAAGTGACAACAAAAATGGGAGAATTTACCACTTCTTGAGACAGATGTCTGACTTTATGTCGGAATAAATGAATCAATTCTTTCTGGTTCTATTTGACACAGACTTCGCACTGGTGTTCTTTATCAGTGTGAAGAATTTTTGAAAAAAGTAGCAAATATTATGCTCGATAATTTATGAACTTTGATATTTTAAAATTATTTTTGTAGTTACTGTGAGTGAGTGAGCTTAGTTTTACACCGCATACAGCAATATTCAAGCGATATGGCGGCGGGCTGTAAATCATAGAATCCAGTTATAAACAGCATGAGCGTCGATCTGCGCATTTGGAAGACGATGACATGTGTCAACCAAGTAAGCATGCCTGACCACCCGATCCCATTAGTCGCCTGGTACGTCAAACATGGGTTGCTGAAGATCAATTGTAACCAGGATCTTTACGGGGTTGTAGTAACTGTGATCTATATACAATGTGCATGTCTCATTAATTTATCAAAACATTACTGCTGATATATCGTTAATCGCGATACTCCCAACTTTGGCGTGGAACATTGAACGATGTGTATTAAATTTAAATATCCTACAGCCTGTATCGTCAAGCATGGTTGACCTGATGAATAGGGAAAATCAGAGTGAGAGGATCGCCAACGATCTAGTTGTCTTGGACTTCTGTTTGACTTACCCTTCCTGCGACTGGCGATATATACTTTCATAATTTCATAATAATTTATAGATATTTCCCATAATAAAATCAAATGTTTAACTATGATATCACTGTCTAAATACACTGAGACGGTGGTACGATAATCATATGTACAATATTTTGTAAAAGACCCACAATATGTTGTCCGTTATTTTTGTTCATCCTGATTAATAATAGTTACTTATACAGGGTATTAAAAATATGTTCATAATTAATAAAGACTATATTACCAAAAATAACAAATTTAATCATCGTCAGAATTTGTAAACGGTTCTTCAGCATGCTATGTGACTCAACTCAACAAATTTGATAACAGTCTTTGGCTTATTCTAAGATGGCGAAAAGAAGCAACCAAAATTAATATCTTGCAAAATTAATTCTCATATCATTAGTAATTAGGAACTTTGTATAATGCTTTCAAAACAAAATGCATGTTATGTCGTCTGTTATAGAATCTAAACGGTAAATGTAGGAGGTAAATATTTATTTACGCTCAGAATCATAAAACAACGTAATTCTAATCATAGAAATACATTTGGTTGAAAAAACAACAACCGAAAGCGAAGTGAATGTACAAATATGTATTTCAGGACCCAGTCATAGGAAACCATTCCTCTGAAAGCATGTAGTGTTAGGGTGTAATTATTTTGGAGAATTTAAACATTACGTGGTCAACACAGATCTATAAATGCCAAGAATCTGTTCATTTGTAACATGTCTCAGAGACGTAAGTAACCAAAGATGTTTGTTGAGAATAAGTTGCAGCTCAGCAGTTAACACTTTTGCAGACAGTAAACCTACGCCATTTTGCTCACTCAAACAATGACTGTAGATGACCACAGTCATCGAGACTGACTGACTGACTGAGTTTGGTTTTACGCCGCTTTTAGCAATATTCTAGCAACATCATGGCGGGGGACACCAGAAATGGGCTTCACACATTGTACCCATGTGGGGATTCGAACCCGGGTCTTCGGTGTGACGAGCCAAACGCTTTATCCACTAGGCTACCCAACCGCCCCAGTCATCAAGAACAATGACTGGACATGACTAAAGTCGTCAAGAACAATGACTGGACATGACCAAAATAATCAAGAACATTGACTGGACATGAGTAAAGTCATCAAGAACAATGACTGGACATGTCCCAAGTAATCAAGATCAATGATTGGACATGACCAAAGTAATCAAGAGCAAAGACTGTACATGACCAAAGTAATCAAGAACAATGACTGGACATGACCAAAGTCATCAACAACAATGACTGGACATGACCAAAGTCATCACGGCTCACTCTCCTACCCAGAATTTAATGCGACCATTCGTCATATCTTGAACAGTCCATTCAAATATATTTTAACACTTTTATTTTCTTAAACTTCTTTGATAGAATCGTTTACTGTCACTGAGAAAATATCAAAAACGTGTAACACTATTTCGAAATGGGTAGCGACCCTTTGTTTACATAGGTTATGCGGTTCAACGTGCTGTCATCGAAGCACTGTCGAGAGCAAGCGATGATGTAACTTTGATTTATAATATGTATTGTCATAAACCTGATTGTCGCAGCTATAAAATAATATATGTATAACAATTTAAAACGATATGAAGGACGCACCGAAAAACTTGCATAAGGTCAGTCTCTGCTGATTTATGAATACGTGCGTTTGTTTACAAGCAAGAGAAAAGTCCAGTCACGTGATATGCAAATTAGCCTGTGGAGGTGATTTTATGCTGAGTCATCACTGCGCCGGAATGTGTGGTAGGTTGTCACAAACAAGCCATTTCGCTCATGTCTAGAAAGACGTCACTGTATTTTCCAGATGTTTCATCATTGACCGTTTATAGACTTTTCTCCCCAAAGTATATATCTAATTACTACGCTTTAAAAGGGTTTGTGCGCCCCCTTGCACCCCAACACCTCCACTCATTCCCTATCTGACCCCGCGGATAACTTGTCAGCTTAACATGAGAGAGGTGAAAGGGGAATGCAGACTAACACTACTTTGATTTTGTTTAACATGGATACCTCACTCGGGTACAGCATCCGATACATCCTTGTTTTATCTCTTTTATGTCGAGCAAAAAGAACGGTAACTGAAAGTTCCATCTTTTACCGTCTTTTTTCACAACTTGGTCAGAGGATCGAACTAACGTCATAAGATTTAGTGTTGCAAAGTTGGTAGCAGCAAAAACTACAACAATGTATCAGCCTAGCATGAAATACAACATTTCAGTAGAGCAAGAACAATAATATATCAGCCCAGCAAGAACTACGATATATCAGCCTTGCAAGATATACAACATATCAACAAGAAATACAGCAACGTATCAGACCAGCAAGAAATACGATATATCAGCCCAGCAAGAACAACAATATATCAGCCCAGCAAGAAATACGATATACCAGCCTTGTAAGATATACAACATATCAACAAGAAATACAGCAACGTATCAGACCAGCAATAAATACAACATTTCAGTCCAGCAAGAACTACAATATATCAGCCCAGCAAGAACTGCGATATATGAGCCCACCAAGAAAAACAGCAACATGTCAACAGGAAATACAGCAATATATCAGCCCAGCATGAAATAAAACATTTCAGCCCAGCAAGAACAACAATATATCAGCCTAGCAAGAACTACGATATATCAGCCCAGCAAGAACTACGATACATCAGCCCAGCAAGAAAAACAATATATCAGCCTAGCAAGAACAACAATATATCAGCCTAGCAAGAACTACGATATATCAGCCCAGCAAGAACTACGATACATCAACCCTAGCAAGAACAACAATATATCAGCCCAGCAAGAACTACGATATATCAGCCCACAGAGAAATACAGCAACATGTCAACAGGAAATACAGCAATATATCAGCCCAGCAAGAACTATACGATGTATCAGCCCAGCAAGAAATACAGCAACATGTCAACAAGAAATACAGCAATGTATCAGCCCAGCAAGAAATACAACACCGAAAAAATAACAACTAGATCACATTTTCTTTGTGTAAAAATAGTGTATTGAAATATGTCATAAAGGAATTTATAAAACAAATTACATTCATGCTTTCCACATCCGGGTTTCAGCTAAATATATACTAAACGATAAAGCTGTGTCCTTCCCATCCTGAGATAGTTTATGCCTATATAAGGTATATGACGTCATGGAGGGATTTGATTGGTTGGACATCAGCAGGTCTTTGTATCACACAAAATATCACATAGTAATGCAGAATATAATTCTACGTACACCCATCCAGCAATGTCTCTTTACATATGTTTGTATCAGATACATATAGACTCTTAAAAAAAGAGAAACTTGACATTGGAACAATTTGAATTTTATGAAATTATTTTACACAAACCAATTCATGCTGTATCCCAAAATGTGGAGGAATGGTAAATGAACTCCAAAACAGCATGTCAAGTTTCTTTTTTTTATAAGCGTATATCTGTGATTAATCATTTGAATAAGGCATGTTAGCATTCCATATTTTTTCAGCTGAGGCGAGGAATGTATCACTGCCTGAAATCAGACGCCGAAAACAGTTTTGATGGAATGCGAGATCTTGTGTTACACATCAAGTGATTTCCGTGAATGAGGACACCATTGATTGGCTGACGTTTCTCGGAAGTGAAGCACTTGTCTGTCTGATTGGCTGCTACCACCACGTTATGGTGTGGTTGTTGGTGAGGGTTATTTTCAGGTTCAGTAACGAAATAATCTGTGAATAGAGATTGAATTCCTGTGTCATCTGAGAATAAGTTAGTAATTGCAGACTGTTACCAATGTCTTGATTTCTGTTGCAAATTTTACGAATACTAGTATTAAGTTTATAATTTGGTGTGACAATGTTGATTCCAGATGTTAATAACATCTTGCATACTTGTGAGGTGTTAGAATTATTTCAATATTTGAAAACATAAAAAAGGACATACACTTTTTGCATTTTAGCAACAATCCAGCATTAGTGTCCACATGGCCCTTCGTGAAATTTATATTTTACATTTAATCTGGTTTAAACTATCAACGCTCAAACATTACTCACTCATAATTTACCATGTAGATGGCATATGACGTGCAAGGGACTCACCGCGTAGGACTGTCGTATGTTGTCGACGGGCACCGCTTGCCCGTCCAGCTTGACTGACAGTGGAATGGTCTGGAGGCCATAGATGTCCAGCTGGTCAAGCGGCGGTGGCGGCAACACTGACACCGACCCTGTCGGAACCACGTGTAGCTCACCAACCTGCAGAAACAAACACGTCATGGATTCAGTCTGAGCTCGAACACATACTCGTAGCTGACTTAATCCTTCAGCTCAGTACTGCTGTTAAGACTCAAATACAACGCTGGTCTTTTGGGTAAAACGTAACTGACATTAGCCACCGCACTTAACAATATGCCAAACAGTTGCATAGCGACGGTGTGTAAATAATTAAATTTGGACCAGACAATCTGATGATTATCATCATAAACATCACTCTGGGCAAATGAGAAACGATGACATGTATCAAATCAGCGTGTCTCTCTGATGCTACCCTAAGTCGCTCGACAAGTATGAGTCTTTCAAGACCAATTCTAACCCAGAGCTATTTTGTTGGCGGCGGCGGTGGTATAGTTTAAGAGCGACTTGGACCAGAAGTAGTGTCTATTTGATATTGATGTTAATTGATGTTGAACTATCAGAAATATAAGAAAACATACTGCACCAATAGATAATGTACATTAAAATGTAGTCTATCTACATTCAGCTATTTTGATGAGATGACAAAATCATCTGTTTAGTACAATGGATTCGACCTTCAAACAAACACTTTTTTGGTTTTAAAAATGTCTCAAATATAAAAAAATCTGACGCCAGTTTAATAGAAAAGCTGAAAATATAACAGAAAAAGACATGGAAACGATTTAAAAGTAATACATATATTTGGTTTAATGTTTCCAAGCGGCATCATATGTTCAGATTGTTTTATACATGACGCCGCCACCTACAGAAGTTATGTGTGAACTACATTCCATGTTGTCAGCAAAGAAGCCCAGCTCCGAGATTTTACAGGCTGGCTGGTTGGCTTGGTTGACACATGTCATTGGTTCCCAATTGCGTAGATCGATGCTCATGCTGTTGATCACTGGATTGTCTGGTCCAGACTCTGTTATTTACAGACCGCCGCCATATAGCTGGAATATTGCTGAGTGCAACGTAAAAGTGAACTCACTCACTCACTCACTGGAATATTGCTGAGTGCGGCGTAAAACTAAACTCAATCACTCACTGTTCATGTGATTGTACTATGATCGATTTGTCTCACCATGTCACTCACAGTGCCCAGTTATATACTTATGATTCTGTATGTATAAACAGAGATTTTATGTTCCATCTTAGATCTACTGACCAATTGTTGACCAAGCAGCTTACCTTGGGCATGCGGAACTTGATCAATAAATACTGGTTTGTTTCGTAGGTATCTGAAATAGTAAATACACCGCCTGGTTGGATGACACCAGATCACGTTACGTTCACAAATTCTAGATTAGACATACATAGTATTATCTTGCCTCTCACATAAATGTCGTTTTCTGATTGGATGAGCGCTCTTCTATTATTTTCAATGTACCCTGCTTACAGGCGAGTAACATCTTCTATGTATCCCGCTGGGAATGGCGAACTCATTTGGTACTTCGTAGTAGTAATTCTTTATCTCGAGTAACATTGAATCACTCGTATGATGTACGGAAATTACCGATGCTTTGCGAATGCAAATCGATGGAAGGGAGATAACTCTAAATTTGTTTTCATGTCGTCTTGTCGTCTGGTACTCCATACTATGATCCGATACCCGTGCTTCAAACAGTTCCAAATTACCATTGAGATGTTCGGCAAGATAAACACTTTGTTTACTGGTCCCTCGGGACCCATGGGTTGATGTACACTCCATGTTTATGGAACATAAACAAACATAGAGGGTACATCAACCCATGTCCCCCTCGTGGCCAGTGAACAACTTATTATGTACACAGTATATGACATACACCGTACTACAAGTTAAAAGCAGAATGTGAAACCTTACAAAGCATGTCTCTGAAGTTTGAGGAAACTCGAGGATAGTCCGCTGATTTTATTCACTTTCGACATTCGTCAGCCCATGATGAACTATAGAACTATAGAGTTACGACCGGTCGTAACGTTACGAACGCTTTGTGGATCGGGACCCTGTTTTATCTTTTCCACATGGGCACACTGTGTGACGCCCTTTCCTAGTGTCCCCGCTGTGTAATCGCTTGATATATCTGAAGGACAGGATGGATTACGGCATAAGTTGTAGTGCAGAGTTCCGTCTCGAAGACCCGGTTATTCTGTGTTCGAATCCCAGATTCGCACTGATGATGATGATGATGATGATGATGATGATGATGATGATTTATGTTATGTTCCCACCAGTCGCATGCATGTTGCTTTAATGGAAGTGGCGAAATAGATCACCTGCAATTTCGATATTCGTCATCCCATGAAAAATGTTTCCTATCAGGTTATCGCATTACATAAGGCCCACAAAGAACGAAATGTCACCTGCCTTTATACCCATCATCCCAGAATAATGTTACCCATCATTCTATGTTCATAATAGAATGAGGCCATCTAGGCCTCCCCATCATTATCGTGTGTGTGTGTGTGTGTGTGTGTGTGTGTGTAATAGTCAAATTTTATAGGCTACACTTCTAAAATGTACTGCATGTAGATTGATAACTTTGTGAATATTGTTTTTAATATCACAGGTCAAGATTGTAACTTTGTGATCAACTGTTTTTTTCACGTAATCCCAGAACACAGTCACATATTGCCTTCGATCATTCCCCAAATGACCTCGCCTATATCCTCTCATCATCCCCAAATGACCTCACCTATTGCACCCTTTCATCCCACAATGACCTCACCTATTGCACCCTTCATCCCACAATGACCTCACCTATTGCACCCTTCATCCCACAATGACCTCATCTATTGCACCCTTCATCCCACAATGACCTCACCTATTGCATCCCTCCCACAATTCATCCCTTTCAAATGACCTCACCTATTGCACCCTTCATCCCACAATGACCTCATCTATTGCACCCTTCATCCCACAATGACCTCACCTATTGCATCCTTTCATCCCCAAATGACCTCACCTATTGCACCCCTTTCATCCCACAATGACCTCACCTATTGCACCCTTTCATCCCACAATGACCTCACCTATTGCACCCTTCATCCCACAATGACCTCACCTATTGCCTCAGTTTTATACAACAATGACTTCACCTATTGCACCCTTTCATCCCACAATGACCTCACCCATTGCCTCAGTTTTATACAACAATGACCTCACCTATTGCACCCTTTCATCCCACAATGACCTCACCTATTGCACCCTTCATCCCACAATGACCTCACCTATTGCACCCTTCATCCCACAATGACCTCATCTATTGCACCCTTCCTCCCACAATGACCTCACCTATTGCATCCTTTCATCCCCAAATGACCTCACCTATTGCACCCTTTCATCCCACAATGACCTCACCTATTGCACCCTTTCATCCCACAATGACCTCACCTATTGCACCCTTTCATCCCACAATGACCTCACCCATTGCCTCAGTTTTATACAACAATGACCTCACCTATTGCACCCTTTCATCCCACAATGACCTCACCCATTGCCTCAGTTTCATACAACAATGATCTCACCAATTGCACCCTTTCATCCCACAATGACCTCACCTATTGCTCCCTTTCATCCCACAATGACCTCACCTATTGCACCCTTTCATCCCACAATGACCTCACCCATTGCCTCAGTTTCATACAACAATGATCTCACCAATTGCACCCTTTCATCCCACAATGACCTCACCTATTGCACCCTTTCATCCCACAATGACCTCACCTATTGCACCCTTTCAACCCACAATGACCTCACCTATTGCACCCTTTCAACCCACAATGACCTCACCTATTGCACCCTTTCAACCCACAATGACCTCACCTATTGCACCCTTTCAACCCACAATGACCTCACCTATTGCACCCTTTCAACCCACAATGACCCTTTCCTCTCACCTTTCATACAACAATGATCTCACCTATTGCACCCTTTCATCCCACAATGACCTCACCTATTGCACCCTTTCAACCCACAATGACCTCACCTATTGCACCCTTTCAACCCACAATGACCTCACCTATTGCACCCTTTCATCCCACAATGACCTCACCTATTGCACCCTTTCAACCCACAATGACCTCGCCTATTGCCTCAGTTTCATACAACAATGACCTCGCCTATTGCCTCAGTTTTATACAACAATGACCTCACCTATTGCCTCAGTTTTTCTATACAACAATGACCTCACCTATTGCCTCCCCATCATCCCAGAACAACTCGCCCTGAGCTCTGCCTTCTTTATCCAGGGCAACAATGGCACCAATCGTGTTGTTTCGGCTACAACGCAAAATGAAAAGTTACGTGCAACACAAGTAAATTAGCCGCTAAGAGAGCGATGTAGAATATCTCGAGTATTCAATGGTTCGCGCTTGTTTGCCCAAGTGTGCATGTTTGCTTGAGAAAAGTATGTCATTTAGCTCTTTACTTAGCTTTGCGTTTAGCCTTTTTGTTGATTACTTGTCCATTTAAGCGCAGGACAAATGTACCTGACAGTGTACGCACTATAATTTTCTTTTTATCTGTATCTATGAAGATCTGATACCATCTATTCACTCACTTTGTTTATCTATATCTAAAACCTGCATCTCTCTACACATTTGTTTCCATAATCCTGCGAGCTGGTCCTGAAGACCTACCTACCTGGCGTATGTTGTGTTAGACGGCACCTGCCATGGAATCACGTGACCTCCCCGGACGTGAAGGTTGAACTTCTCTAGTGGCGTGTCAAGATCAAGGTAATCTTCTTTCACCGCAACCCTTTCACCCTAAACGTGATAAAACAGAAATGCAGTATGAAACCTTTCTTGGAAGGCAATAAAGATTTGTCACAGTTTAATCTTTAACAAACTTGTAACAAATATCATTATAATGCACACACTTGAACAATTAAACAGTGAACACTCCCTGAATAAAAAATGCACATGTGTACAAGACGTGTTCGGGGCGCCTGACCATGGGATGGTGGGTTCGGCAGGATATCAGTTTTAGAATCACTGTACCTAAGGTGATGCTGGTAGCGCACGTTACCAGCATCCCAACATGGCGGCAGGTAACATCGCTTGGCGATTATTTCCCTCGAATTAGCAATCTTCCACGTGTATACAATCAACATTATTCAGCTCACTGATAAACTTTGATGGTGGAAATACATTGAATGCACTGAATTTGTTTATTAATGTCTATGTGTTGAAAAATAAGCATTTATAAAATCGCGCGAGGATGTCGGTAACTCAAGGTACAGTGAGAACGTTATTTCTATATGTTTATTTAAATAGCGCTATAGCCCATCCCATCTGCATGCATGGTCAAAGCGCTTTGTTTCCCTCGATCAATGGATGTCAACCGCAAACGGCACATCTTATTTATCAATCTCAACTTCCTTGGGATAATACAACTCGTGCAGCCACTACACGCACCAAGTTAATTTGGTTTTACCATCCTTACGACGTACCCATTCACAGTTGGATGGACTGGGACACATACTCGCAGGACTTTGTCCAGGTTTTTACTGCACGTTGCTGTACCAGCAACTAGGTGTTTGCACGTATTCATGTGGCACGTACTCATATTCTGCACAGGGTTGTGTACTGTGAACACTGAGGGTTGTGACAACACTGAAAAAGTCTACACACAAATTTGACTTCAAGGTTTTATACACCCGGTCACAGCTGGACTCGATCCCTGCACCTTAAACTAGCTCGATCATTAGCCTGGATCACTTCCACGTCTACAAATGAAGGGAAATGGGCGAAGCAGTGACGAACCAACACGATGGCTACAAGTAACAAGTAGCCACAGTGTGGCAAGAGTCGACAGAATATTTGTTGTCTTACCTTGAAGTAGTCATACCAGTGGCCTTCTGGGAAATATGCTTTCACAATTGTCTGCCCCTGGAGAAATGACAAGTCAGCGTCGTTTATGATATGCTTTGAAAATATATTGTCCCTGATCTATTTTAAAAAATATGTTTCCAAAAGAATTTGAAGGCAACAAATATATATTTTAGCAAGATGGGGGCTAATAATTTTTAATAATTTAAAAAAAAAATATGGGTAGGTACCTGTAACTTAAATATTACCCAGCCTCCATATAAAGTCCCAGTGCCCTATATTCAATTTTTATGTTTTCGCTTAATAGTGTGAGTGAGTGAGTTGGGTTTTACGCCGCTTTTAGCAATATTCCAGCAAATATCACGGCGGGAGACACCAGAAATGGGCTTAACATTGTGCCAATGTCGGGAATCGAACGCAGGTCTTCGGCGTGACGAGCGAACGCCTTAATCACTAGGCTTCCCCCACCGCCCCATGCTTACTAGATCAGGTATATGCCAGCTGGGTGCTACATGAAGTCACCTTGTTAAGGACTGGAGACACAAGCAGTGCAGGACCCAGCAGGAATTGCTCATCAACACTCAGGCAGATTGGGTCGTTAGGAAACCTGTGGAAAATACAAGACTCAGACAAATTGGGTCGTTAGGAAACCTTTGGAAAATACAAGACTCAGACAAATTGGGTCGTTAGGAAACCTTTGGAAAATACAAGACTCAGACAAATTGGGTCGTTAGGAAACCTGTCGAAAATACAAGACTCAGACAAATTGGGTCGTTAGGAAACCTTTGGAAAATACAAGACTCAGACAAATTGGGTCGTTAGGAAAGACTCGGACAAATTGGGAAAGGGTTGCAGTAGAAGGATACCTGTTCTTCTGTGGGCAGGTTTTCGTATCTTCCAGTTTCCATTTTTAAAGTGGCAAATTCACATCTAAAAAGCGCAAGTGCTCGCCTGTTCGATTCATATTACATGACACATAACTTTCACACGAATATGTCATTTTAAACGTGAAGTGAATTAGAAGCGCCTTCACTTTCCAGTGATGTAGGAGGGCAAGTCCAAGCGTAAGTCAGGTCCCGTTGTACAAAGCTATCTTTGGACAAAGACAGTCGTAAGTCAATGTTAAGGTATGGGAGTTGATATTACATGAGCTATACGATGGCCGTTCTAAGCGGACCTCTGGTCGTTGAAACCTGGTGGTATTGGCGCGGGTAGTTACAATAATCATCTGTAGGTGTCCGTTTCAAAGCTTAGGTTGTAATCTAAAGTAAAGAAGTCACCATAATGGTAGTGCAACAATCGCTTTCAGAAACAGGTATCTGGCTCCCGATCCATAAAACGTTATTAGCGCTACGACATCCATAAGCATAGCGCAATCTATTGAGTTACGATGGGTCGTAACATTACGAACGCTTTGTGGCTTGGAACTAGGTTTAAAGACTGCAAACAGGAATAAAGTATGAATACCAAATTAATACTCACTCGAACAGGAGCGGCCTCATGACAGTGTCTCCCTGCGCATGCGCATTGTGCATGAGGGTGTAAAGGTAGGGCAGCAGCTTGTAGCGGGTGACGAGTGCGTCCTTCGCAAGACGGAGGAATCGGGCATCCCAGGCAGCAGGGTCTTGCGGCTGGAGGACAGAGAGCCATTCCAATCTGTCATATTTTTGTGTGTAAATCTTGAGGCAAAACATTACTTTTTGTCAAATATTGTACAATATTTTCAAATTAGGTCTGTCGCATGAGAAAACGACCCACCACAACGACAGAGCACTTGTCATATAATCGACAAGTTGGTGTAAATCGCATCAACATGGTGGTGTGTGGTTTTGCCATAGAGTTCAGGTCATAAATCAGTTGAAATTAAGCAACGTTGGGCGCGGATAGATGACCATGTTTGGCAGTGAGTGATTGAGTTTTACGCCGCGCTCAGCAATATTCCAGCTATATAGCGGCGGTCTGTAAATAACCGAGTCTGGACCAGACAATCCAGTGATCAACAGCATGAACATCGATCTACACAATTGGGAACCGATGGCATGTGTCAACCAAGTCAGCGAGCCTGACCACCCAATCCCGTTAGTCGCCTCTTACGACAAGCATGGGTTACAGGACATCAATTCTAACCCGGTTCTTCATGGGATCCAATATATATAAATAAAAAAAAACATAGCGTATGTCCTATAAACGAAAACTATGTGTCCCAGACATCCAAATATACCTTGAACAATACTGAATTGTTTCCTTTGCGGTTTTCTTAATTTCATAAAATATATCAAATCTTGAAAATGTCCAACCAATACTATTTATCCCTGAATCTCCTGAAATGAATGAAACACCACAGCCCGTGACCAAGACTTACCTTGAAGAATTCAGGAGCGTCCCCAAGAGCGTTGTGGTTACGGGCGAAGGGGTAGAAGGCGCCGAGTTGATGCCACCTGACACACATTTCGTACTCCGCCTCGTACCAGAACCCGCAGATGTCTGCGCCGTTCTGTAAAAATAGGGGAGATAAATGGATAAAATCTGGATGGCCGGTTTCCTGATGTGTATACAGGTTACTTGCTGGAAGTTTGCAACCTGGCTCTGACAGATACAATTTCCGTCATGCTGACCATCCTCGGATCGTGCAGAGAGACACAGCAGCTTCATTCAAAACCCAAATCTCTACAGATGGGCGTTTCGATGGACATATGTGCTGCTTGGTTTTATCTCCAAGCGGTGACCAGGTATCTTTTCACGATCCACAGGTAAACGGGTGAACTTATCGATGAAATTATAAGAGTTCAAATATGAATCATGAGTACTCACCAAGGAAAAGCCGAAAAGACCGAACTCAAGGATACCTGAAAATTATCCAAATATATTAAATGGCTTCCAGAGATGTAGACAGACACAAACCTCAAGTACAATATCTGATACTGGTAGGGAGTGGCAGGGGAAGGGCGGGGAGTGTGCCCCCACATCACGTATATCTAATACTGCAAGGATCAGTACGTTTCATCCCACAAGTTAAAGCTGATTCAGCTCATGATGTACAATCAGCCTCTCTAATGTCGACCCGTGAAGATCCGGATTAAAATAGCTATTCAGAAACTCATGCTTGTCATCCAAAGTGGCGGCCAATGGGGTTGGGAGGTCATGTTGACTTGGTTGACACTTGTCATCATATCCCAGCTTCTTAGATCGATGCTCATACTGTTGATCACTGGATTGTCTGGTCTATTATTTAACAGTCCGCCTGTATAAAGCTGAAATATTGCTGTGTGCGACGTTAACAACAAACAAAACTCTTTATAACAAAGCGTTGATGATTAAATCCTTGATGTGCAACCAGCCTCTGAACCTCACAGTCCCTGAACCAAACTATTTTCCCTAATGCCTAGCCCTCCCTTCAATGCTAAAGCCCTAAATAAAGCAAGTCTAGATAAGTTCCGAACTCACTACTGCTTCTTTAAGTTTAAATGGGTTTATTTGTTACTATCAAAATTATATATATTCAGGGACTAAGCCTTAGTCTACCAGCCTCTCTAATGCCGCATATAACAAATCGTTGATGGTCCAACTCTTGACGTACAAGCAGGAGTGTAACAACCCATTAGGTACGACTACACACAAGGAGTGGTTACACTCTACAGTTGTCCAGTAATGTTTAAACCCCTGCCATCCGACTTGTCACGGATATGTCAACCTGGGGCGTACCACCAACGAGTTTCCACTCCGTTATGTACGTGTATCCCAACTTATTTCACCCATGACGAATTGCTGGTTTGTGACGTACCCACAATTGACCACTTCATCTGTTCCCAGCGGGACTGATTGTCCCCCATCCACTTGGTGGCATACTTCCCCGTCCCCGCATAGGATGACCGGGTCATCGTCCACGGCCGCTTGCCGGGGAATATGTTCTTCAGAGCACTGCAGGAAACACCACACATGTACGAGAGAACACTATTTGAACGTTAGGGATTTTCCGATGGTTGCTAATGCGTCGAATCTACTTTGTAGGAAGATCTTATATATCCGGTCACATAAGCCTGGATGGCAAGAAAGGGTTTTCAACGTAGATACTGACCGTCAGTCTGGTTAAAACTCCAGTGTCTGTATGTCTGTATGATGGCGTGTCCTGTGTTTGATTTTGTGTGTGTGTCTCTGTGTGTGTCTGTATGTCTGTCTGCATGCATGCATAGGTAGGTAGGCCTTTGTGCTCACGTGTAAATCAGTATGTCCTGTGTACTCACTTGTATGTCTGTATGGCCTGTGTGTGGGCATACAAACTGTGGACATCGTAGTGGCTGCCGATGTGTTGTCTGGCATCCATACAGAGCGTCTTGTCATACATGCGCCCGTCCTTCCCTCGGCCCAGGATGTCTGGAATGACACGTTATTACCCTGTCATCATCAACAAATGTTACGTCACACACAGTTGGCGACGTCGCCCTTCGCACTGACCTAATGTAAACTTGCTCCACTTGCGCATCGAGAGTAGTTCCACTTACTTTGGGTGTATGACGCGTTGTTTCACTTATGTGGGGTGTATGGGGGATTATTCCACTTATTTGGGGTGTATGGCGGGCTGTTCCCCTTACTTGTGGTGTATTATTATTAATATTATTATTATACCATATTTATATAGCGCACATATCCAGGTAACTAGTACTTGCTCAAGGCGCTGGTATTTTTTCCCTTGATCATTGGATGTCAATCTCAACGGCACATCGTGTTAACAATCTCAACTCCCTGGGGAGTATGGAACTTATGCAGCCACTAGGCGCACCGAGGTATTGTGGCTTTCTCATCCTAACGAGGTACCCAGCCACATCTGGGTGGACTGGGACACATTGTCACAGTACTTTGTCCAAGTTCACTGCACGTTGCTCTACCCGCAACTAGGTGTTTGCACGTATTCATGTGGCCACCGTAGTCATATACCAACGGATTCGTGAGTTCTTTTAAGTGCACAGGGTTGTGTACTGTACACTTGGGGTTGTGACAACACTGAAAGAGTCTGCACACAAAGTTTTATACCCGGTTGGCTCGATCCCGACACCTCAACCTCGCTGGATCACTAGCCTGGCGCCTTAGCCAGGTCGCCCACCGCGCCCCATGGGGATTATTCCACTTACTTGGGGTGTATGGCGGGCTGTTCCACTTACTTGGGGTGTATGGCGGGCTGTTCCACCTACTTGTAGTGTATGGCGGGCTGTCCCAATTACGTGGGGTGTATGGCGGGTTGTTCCACTTACTTGGGGTGTATGGCGGGTTGTTCCACGTGTTGTTCTCACAGCCGTCTACAGACCCGGGGACAAAACTTGAAGGTTCGTTCATGTCCTGAAGAAGGCATGTTACATTTTACCCGTTCTTGTGACGTCATGGGAGTATCAGTCTCCCGGGCACAGCATTAATTACTACAGTACTCCTCACACTTGCTGCATCACAAACTACGTGACTGTCAGTAATAAATGACATCGGAGGCATTGAAACGTTTTCTTTCCTGACAGGGTATTAGAATAATGAAGCTGAGAAACTAATGGCGACAAAACGGTCCCCAGTCAACGTTGATACCAGGCCCCGAATTGTCGAAACAAACTGAAGTCTGAGTTTTGACTTTAGTCAGAGTTTTTACTCAAATTTGAGAAAATATATTTCCCGGAATGAACTGAAATACTAAACTCAAACATAGTAGACAATTTGAGTTTGGTGGACAGATTACTTACTGTTTTATATTTTTAAAATGCAGTTGAGCAAAAATTCCGCTGTTTCAAATTGTCAAACTCAGTTTTAAATTTTAGTAAAAACTTAAGATTGTTTCGAGAAATCGGGGCCTGGTATCAACAGGTCTCTTGATGGTCTGTGTCAGTACCATGTCCCTCTACCTGGGCCCCGTTCCGCAAAGCGATCGTAGCGCTAAGATGATCGTAACTCCCATACTTTAACATAGACTTATGACAGTCGTAGCGCTACGATCCCTTTGTATGTTGATATCACATCTTTGGATGTTCTCTTTGAGGTCCCTGGCACATCGTTTAGTAACTTTCTCTACCTTCAACGAGTCTAAATGGCAAGAAAATACGACATGCCCAGCACACGTGGTGTAATAGTTGACATCCATGGCGTTCAGACCGAGTTGCATGCGACCGCGACCGCGACACCCGCCGCGGCGGAATACACGGTACACTATATACCGAGCCACAAAAAGAAATGTCGCTCCGATAGCGGTTTCTCACAGCACACACTTAAGTTCACTCTAATTAACAATCAAAACGGAGGATTGTGTTCAAACTTGACAGTTATGGTTAACATTTCGGGAATCACATTTCAAACAAACAAAATCACCAACAATGGTACCATTAAGATACCCCAAAGTCAGTATTGTGTGTGGCCTCTATGGGCATCGTTGAAAGCGTTACATCGTCTGTACATGGAATGAATTAGCCGGTTGATGAAGGCCATAGGCACTTGGGTCCATACTCTGTGAAATGCCTGATCGAGTCCAGCAGCAGTTGTCGGCCTTGGGTGGAGGTCATTCAGTCTTCTTTGAATCTCGCCCCACAGGTGTTCTATTGGACCCAAATCAAGACTGAGTGCAGGCTATTGTAGGGTTTGGATGCCATGTTGGTTTAGGAAGTCCAGTGTTACTCTGGCAGTGTGGGCACGACCGTTGTATTGCTTTAAGATGTGCTTTCTGTAACGTCCAAAATGTGGTACAACGTGGGGTCTTATGACTTGGTCAATATAGCGAGCAGCCGTCACGTCATTTCCTCATCCTGGGCAGAGATTCTGGAACACCACGGTGCCAGCTATCTGCTTCAGACCGATTGCACCCCACACCATGATGCTTGGACCACTCCACGAGTCTCTTTCAATAATACACTCATAGGAAACCACCCACGCCTTCACCATACTCTCACTCTGCCATCGACTGTCGAAACACAATATCAGCTTTCATGAGAAAAAAACACAGTTCTCCATTGTCGATAACGCTAATTTCGATGCCGAGTTGCCCACTGCAGTCGGTTTTGGCGGTGATGAGCGGTGAGGACAGGACTACGATATGGTCTCTGAAATCAGAGGTTTCTTCCTCGCAAACGTCAACGCATTGTATCGGCACTGATGGGTCTGTTGTGAGTCCTAATGGACTGGCGTGCTGTTTCAGTCGCTCTGGGGAAGCGATTCTGAAGATGGTGGCGCACAATCTGTCGGTCTTGACGCTGTGATGTTACTGAAGGTCGCCCACTGCGTGGACGGTCTTGGATGCTGTTAGTGACCTCATACCACATTAAAATGATTGACTACCCTCCGTGCAGTCTGGCCTACTTGTAATTGTCCCAAGACTTGGTTCCTCTGATCTCTCGTAATCGTGCAATGGCGATTGTGCCAAAACAAATATGATTTCAGGCGAGTTTTGGACTCGCTTTCATTGGTAGGATTGTCACGATATGCACGTGCATTTTCATTTTCACGAATGTCATACGGAACCTTTTACCACGTTTGCCTTTTTAGGTGCGTTTGGTCGATATGCTTTTTCTTCAGACAACACATTGATGCTGATAATAACTGTCAATTTGGATTGAAAAACATGTTAATAAAACGATACAGTCATAATAAAAACACCATCTGGTAAAAACAAAATTTTGCATTTGGTTTTGAAAAGCGACGTTTCTTTTGTGGTTCAGTATACTTCTTTGAAATTATGACTTACAGTCACAGAACGCAAAGAGAGGTCGTTGGCTATTGTCATTTGAACGCGTGATGCTAGAGTGGCGTTATCATTTTCTAATCTGAAGCATAAGCTTACCCAGGCTTAAGTACTGCATTTATCTCCCTTCTTCCACTATGAAACAGACCACAGGTAGAAAACATATGAAGGTCAAGTCATGAATTGAACTACTCACGATCCAGAGGGAATCAAAGTGGATACTCTCGTTGTCATGGAAATACTGTGCCCACTTCTCCCACCACACCTCCGTCCTCGGGTTGGTGAAGTCTGGGTACCCGGTAGTGCCTGGCCACACCTGAAACAACGTCACACACGTGGTCACCATGTATTACTGTGGCCGGTAAATAATGACCAGACAAGACAAACTCGTGGCTGATATTGTGAACATTGTCCCACCCAAACTCACGTTGACGAACTATCAACTACCAATGACAGCATCCGTGAAGATCCGGGTTAGACGTGATTTCTCAGCAAACCATGTTTGTCGTAAGTGGTGACTAACGGGATTGGTGGTCCGACACAACTGCCCGTATCCCAATTACGTAGATCGATGCTCATGACATTGATCACTGGACTGTCTGACCGCCGCCATATAGCTGGAGCAGCGTCCAACAACAAGCAAACACATGGCAATCTGGTCCATTATTGTCGCCCCTCACGACAAGCTGTTATTTGGGATGAGGCTTCCATTGTACAAAGCGACGTCAGCGCTAAATGAATCGTACGCAGCTTCAAAACCTGAGCGAGGGCGAGGGCGTAGCCCAGCGGTTAAAGCGTTCGCTTATCCTGCCGAAGACCCGAATTCGATTCCCGGGTACAATATGTGAAGAATATTTCTGGTGTTCCTCCGCCGTGATATTGCTGGAATATTGCTAAATGCGGCCTAAACCCCAACTCACTCCCCCCTCAAACCTGAGCATGGACGTACCAGTGAGGTGGCGCTGCTGTTGCTCTGTACAACGACATCCTGAACTAACACAGTTTATAGTCTTGGTGAAAGTACGACTAAGGCTGCCGAAAAACGTAGGGTCATAATCTGGACAACTGTCACTAATGGATCTTTCCAAAGACTCACTTCAGCTACGAGGGGACCGGAGTTGTTCGGAGTCATCACCAGCACTCCCTCTGTGGCACCATCGTCGAAGACGTCGTAACCTGGACTGTTGAATTTTATGTCACTGCTGATGTTTGGGTCGTTGCCCAGACCGGGGTCCTGTAGTGGAATTGCTATGTCATTGAGTGTGACACGGACCCGTGAAGATCCGGGTTAGAATAATTATTGATCTTCAGCGACCTGTGCGTGCCGTAAGCGGCGACTAACGGGATCGGGTGGTCAGACTCCCTGACTAGGTTGACACATGTCCTCGTAACCCAATTGCGTATCCCACTGTGACATGTGTCAACCAAGTCAGCAAGCCTGACCATCCGATCCCTTTACGACAAGCATGGGTAACTGAAGATTAATCCTAACCCAGATCTTCAGGGGTCTACTCACAAAGACAAAAGTTTCAGTCACCAAGGCTACACTTCTACTCACCACGACGACACGTCTACCGACCACTAGGACACATTAACTCACCACTGTAACACGTGTGTCCACAGGGATACAACCTTCAGTCACCAAGGCTACACATCTACTCACCACGACGACACGGCTACCGACCATTAGGACACATTAACTCACCACTGTAACACGTGTGTCCACAAGGATACAACCTTCAGTCACCAAGGCTACACGTCTACTCACCACGACGACACGGCTACCGACCACTAGGACACATTAACTCACCACTCACCAAACGTGTGTCCACAAGGATACAACCTTCAGTCACCAAGGCAACACGTCTACTCACCACGACGACACGTCTACCGACCACTAGGACACATTAACTCACCGCTGTAACACGTGTGTCCACAAGGATACAACCTTCAGTCACCAAGGCAACACGTCTACTCACCACGTCGACACGTCTACCGACCACTAGGACACATTAACTCACCACTGTAACACGCGCGTCCACAAGGATACAACCTTCAGTCACCAGGGCTACACGTCTACTCACCACGATGACACGTCTACCGACCACTAGGACACATTAACTCACCACCGTAACACGCGTGTCCACAAGGATACAACCTTCAGTCACCAAGGCAACACATCTACCGACCACTAGGACACATAAACTCACCACTGTAACACGTGTGTCCACAAGGATACAACCTTCAGTCACCAAGGCAACATATCTACTCACCACGACGACACGGCTACCGACCACTAGGACACATTAACTCACCACTGTAACACGTATGTCCACAAGGATACAACCTTCAGTCACCAAGGCTACACATCTACTCACCACGACGACACGGCTACCGACCACTAGGACACATTAACTCACCACTGTAACACGTGTGTCCACAAGGATACAACCTTCAGTCACCAAGGCTACACGTCTACTCACCACGACGACACGTCTACCGACCACTAGGACACATTAACTCACCACTGTAACACGTCTGTCCACAAGGATACAACCTTCAGTCACCAAGGCAACACGTCTACTCACCACGACGACACGGCTACCGACCACTAGGACACATTAACTCACCACTGTAACACGTGTGTCCACAAGGATACAACCTTCAGTCACCAAGGCAACACGTCTACTCACCACGACGACACGTCTACCGACCACTAGGACACATTAACTCACCACTGTAACACGTGTGTCCACAAGGATACAACCTAAAGTCACCAAGGCTACACATCTACTCACCACGACGACACGGCTACCGACCACTAGGACACATTAACTCACCACTGTAACACGCGTGTCCACAAGGATACAACCTTCAGTCACCAAGGCTACACGTCTACTCACCACGACGACATGGCTACCGACCACTAGGACACATTAACTCACCACTGTAACACGTGTGTCCACAAGGATACAACCTTCAGTCACCAGGGCTACACATCTACTCACCACGACACGTCTACTCACCACTAGGACACATTAACTCACCACTGTAACACGTGTGTCCACAAGGATACAACTTTCAGTCACCAAGGCTACACGTCTACTCACCACGACGACACGTCTACCGACCACTAGGACACATTAACTCACCACTGTAACACGTGTGTCCACAAGGATACAACCTTCAGTCACCAAGGCTACACGACAACCGACCACTAGGACACATTAACTCACCACCGTAACACGCGTGTCCACAGGGATACAACTTTCAGTCACCAAGGCTACACGTCTACTCACCACGACGACACGACTACCGACCACTAGGACACATTAACTCACCACTGTAACACGTGTGTCCACAAGGATACAACCTTCAGTCACCAAGGCTACACGTCTACTCACCACGACGACACGGCTACCAACCACTAGGACACATTAACTCACCACTGTAACACGTGTGTCCACAAGGATACAACCTTCAGTCACCAGGGCTACACGTCTACTCACCACGACGACACGACTATCGACCACTAGGACACATTAACTCACCACTGTTACACGTGTGTCCACAAGAATACAACCTTCAGTCACCAAGGCTACACGACTACTCAGCAGGGCAACACGACTACTCACCACGATGACAACAAACTTCTGGTTGTGGTCGTGAAGGTCTTGCACCAGATCCGGGAGTCCGGCGAAGGTGTCGCGGTCGTAGCTGAAGACGAACTTGTTGTACATGTATTCCAGGTCAGCCCACTGAGCGTCCTGTTGGAACACAGCTTGTTAAGCTGGATTTTAAACATATAGATCGAGCAGATATCTTGCCATTCACGCTGACATCCATTCTATTAACAGTCACTTTACACACATTATTATACCCGTGAAGATCCGGGTTAAAATTTATCTTAAAGCTTAGATGCAACCAGAAAAAGAAACATAATTAAACACAATTTATCATTTATTCATGACATATAATATACTTTGCTTATTATGAAAAAACAAATAAACGAAAATATCAACAAAAGTCAAAACATTAGAAAAATAGCTCACATCAAAGCTTACTCCGAGTACTCACAGCCAGCGAAGGTTTTCCGTCTTGAAATGTCGATTATTTACTATTTGTTGTTTGTGGACACAACCAAGATTAGACTACTCCTGCTCACGACCTTATAATCCGGGCATCCAGCTTCAAGTTGCGCGAACCTATTTACTGCGCATGCGCTATAAGCGCAGCGCAGCACAGCTGTTGAAACCACTTTTCAGCCCAGCTGGGGTGATTTTAGTAAATCGTTTGAACTCCGATTTCACAGGGGTTTTTCATCGCGTTAGTTTTCAACTTTATAATTTGAATTTGCATTTTTGATAATTTGTTACTGTAAGTCCATACCGAAAAGTATCAGAATCTGCAAAGTTGTGTTTTGCGTTGTATGTAAGCTTTAAGCAACTCATGCTTGTCGTAAGATTCGACTAACGGAATCGGGAGGTCAGGCTCGCTGACTTCGTTAACACATGTGGGGCGGTGGGGTAGCCTAGGTGGTTAAAGCGTTGGCTCGTCACGCCGAAGATTCGGGTTCGAATCCCCACATGGGTACAATGTGTGAAGCCCATTTCTGGTGTCCCCCGCCGTGATGTTGCTGGAATATTGCTAAAAGCGGCGTAAAACCAAACTCAGTCAGTCAGTCGTTGACACATGTCATCGTATCCCAATTGGGTCAATCGACTCTCATGCTGTTGATCACTGAATTGTCACCAGACTCGATTATTTACAGACCACCGCCATATAGCTGGCATATTGCTGAGTATGGTGTTAAGCAACAAACAAACAAAAACACTTCAACAGCTTTTTACGTCACAATATCGTCGTCATCCTAATTATTGTTTTACGCCGTATTCGTGACTATTTATTAACAGCCACATTACTGGTAGCATCCCTATCACGAATCCATTAATGATAATCATCTATGTCATCGGTGCCTTCGTCAATAAAAACATCAACGCTATTTCCATCATTTATATATTACTGCGTTTATCATCGTTGTTGTTATCACCGATGTCGCTATCATCACTCACATATGGTATCCCGGCTTCCCTGTTCCGGTCGATGACCATCCTCAGGTCGGTGATGTTGGTGTAGCCCCAGCGGCAGAGGTGGAAGCCTAGCGTCCAGTAAGGCGGCATAACAGGCCTACCCACAGCCTGTGGACAAGGAAACAACATATCGTAAAGCGAAACAAACAGTTATGTACAATGAAACACTCGTGTGTATGCATGCAGCCTCGTCATACACTGAACATACGTTTGGCATCACACTGCTATGGGTGAGTGAGGTCAGTTTTACACCGCTTTTAGCAACATACCAGCAATATCACGACAGAGGACACCATAAATGGGCTTCACACATTGTACCCATGCTGGGAATCAAACCCTGCGTGACGAGAGAACACTTTAACCACTAGATCTTCAGTAACCCATGCTTGTCGCAAGAGGTTGAAACATGTCATTGCATCCCAATTGCGTAGATCGATGCTTATGCTGTTGTTCACTGGATTGTCTGGTCCAGACTCGATTATTTACAGACCACCGCCATAAAGCTGGAATACTCCTGAGTGCGGCGCAAAACTAAACCGAATCACTCACCTCAAATACAATATTCGGACTTGGACTCACACATTTGATCAATGTTGGGATTCGAATCTGTGTTTTCAGGTTGAGCACTTCCACCAGTAAAGGCAAGATACGCCGTGGATGACAACCACTAGACTGCTCCGTGTAATCGGATAAAAAAGACAATTTAGGCCTAGTTACCGCCGTGTATTGTTGTACTGCCTCGCCAGGTGATGGGCCGAGGAAGATGTAGAAGTCGAGGACGCCGCCGATAGTTCTAAAAGTGATGGCTGGATGCGGAGACGGCTGCAGGAACACCTCTGTTTATGATTGATTGAGATGATGTACTGTTAAACGACAAATAGATCAAAACGGCCACCTGATACACAGTATCCAACCTGCTGGAGTTATACCTGTGGTCAGTTGTACTATTGATAGTATTATGAAAATTAGATGTAATTCTCATAAGGAGTACATATTCTTCTTTTACGACACGTGTGAGAAAATATTTGGCAAATTATTATTTCCTTTGAATATTCCGTACTACCACAGGAATTTGTAGTGTGTATCGTAATGACGAATGCGTTGTTTTTCTTAGTACAAATGTGTCATAAATACAATGTTTCATAGTAGAAGCTACTTGTATCTTTTTTCTTTTTTTTTTTCTTTTCTTTTTTTTTTTTTTATTATTATTATTATTATTTTTTTAAATATTTTTTTTATAATTAGTCAAATATTACAGAAAACGCATTTAGCTACTTGTATCTTGATATCAGAGAGCACTTTGGCGCTGAATGGTAGAGGATGATGAAGAGTTTTGAGAACTTACTGCCTAAAGTTGTGAAGTAGCTATGCCGCTAGTAGTATTGCATACATTGATCATTCATGAGATACCTGTGAAAGTTTCAACACCTCGCAACAAACAGTATTAATATTGTGATAACTGGAAGAGAGATACCCTGGTGATATCACGGAGAATTCTAAAACTGAGTACAGAGCTGTACTTCATGTCCTCACACTAGAGGGCGCCAACACAAGCAGAATCCACGAGTACAGTCCTGACTTGGCACCCAGTGATTATAACCTGTTTCAAAATTTGAGGTCTCACTTGTGTGGAAGACGATTTTCCAATGATGAACTCAAGGCTACAACAGAATCTTGGTTTAGGGACCAGTCAAAAGACTTCTATTTCCAGGGCATTGCCAGCTTGCAGCACAAATGAGCAAATTGTATTGAACTGAAGAGAGACTATAGTGCAAAATAAAAGCTCGAAATCTGCTCTGACTGTTAATTGTATATTATAATAAGTTCCCAAAACGTTTTGACCTCCCCTCATACGTCTTTCTGTCCGGAGGGTAGTTTTGCTTTTGATATAGAGGGTACTTTGGTGTTTGATAGTTACGGAATAGCAATCTTTTCAGTCCGATCTCCAATGGCGTTTGGCACTAAGAAGGTCGTATTTGTTTCTATCATTCAGCGAAAACGTAGGCTTCTCACCCATGGCGTTGCTGTTCTTGAGGAAGACCATGTGGGCACTACCGTTGTCCTCCACGTTCATGTAGGTGGGGTGAGCGCCGTACAGGTTCCACTCGTCCTGGAAGTAACGTGTCCGATTGTATCGTTACATGCCTGTATGATAGCGTTTCAAGTGACATACAGTATACTTCATATCACTGTCAACACGAATTACTAATTATTTATTGTGGTCACATAGTCGAACAGAAACCGTGCAGAATTGTGACGTCATATTTATCGCCCTTGTGGAGTTAGTCGGGAAATATAAGAATTCAAGATTCTGTTGTTTAAGACACAATATTGCACAGATATCCATCTAATAGGCTCTATACATCATGAAATGAATGTATGTTAATTTTCAAGACCCTGTTAAATTTGTAACTGACATAAACTGGTCGTGGTAAAACTAAATCGTTTCATCCTAACAGGAGGGTAGGAGATGTTGGTGGCAATGGCAGCGCCCTACAGCCATTGCTCATTGAACAGCGATGTTCACTGCATCCAAGGTGAAGTGTAAGAGGTAAGGATAAACTTCTCATTAAACCAGAGCATTCTCAGAGCTCTAGCAGTTGAAGGTGTAAGACAAACTACAACAGACGCTTGGAGGGGCTAAGACTTACAACGGGCGCCACATCTCTGGTAAAGATGCTCCACGTTTTCCAGGCGAGGTCATGGCGGAGTTGGCGATGGTTGTGTTCCCCGAAGCCGTACACGTTGTCGGACGCCAGCGTCGTGGTCAGCTGCAGGTACTGGTCGGAATAGATGAACCCTGGCAGGGATGTGTTGAATCTGAAGAGTGACTGAGTGAGTGAGTGTTGTTTTACGCCGCATTTAGCAATACTTAAGTAATATCACGGCGGGGAACACCAGAAATGGGATTCAGGCATATGGGATTCAGGCATATGGCAAATCGAACCCAGGTGCTCATCGTAACGAGCGAACGCGTTAACCACTATGCTACCCCAATGCCTGACATATTTACATTGGATAGTGCGGGGGATATGCACCTTACCCTATATCTGCAGACTGACTGAGTTTGGTTTTACGCCGCTTTTAGCAATATTCCAGCAATATCACGGCGGGGGACACCAGAAATGGGCTTCACACATTGTGCCCATCTGGGGATTCAAACCCGGATCTTCGGCGTGACGAGCCAACGCTCTAACCATTAGGCTACCCCACCGCCCCTGTAGCTGCAGAGGAACTGTTACAATCACATGTAAATACCAACTGTTTACACGGAGTGTTTGCTATTACTACCGACCATGAGTGAGAAGAAAAGGAATCTATAAGTTTCAAATTCATGGTAGAATTGAGCTGGCACATGTTGCGAAAACCAGTGAGTGAGTGAGTGAGTTTAGTTTTAGGCCGCACTCAGCAATATTCCAGCTATATGACAGCGGTCTGTAAATAATCGAGTCTGGAAGATACAATCCAGTGGTTAACAGCATGGTTATCGATGTACGCAACTGGGATACAAACAGACACACAGACAGACAGACAACTGGGATACGATGACACGTGTCAACCAAGTCAGTGAGCCTGACCACCTTATCCTGCTAATCGCTTCTTACGACAAGCATGGGTTGCTGAAGATAAATTCTGACCCTGATCTTCAGGGTCGAAAATAACAGTGTTTGTATGACACGTAATGACACAGCAGCAACAACGTATACATGATATCCCAGGTGGACTCACATTGTCTGGTTGTTAGACACCCGGGTGATGATGACGCCAAACACTGGAGCATCCACGATGGTCACATCGTACAGCCGTGAAGTCTCGCTGGCCTTGTTGCTGGGAGTCGGTATATTCAGGACGCTATCCGGTATCTCCCATCTTGTGCCGTTCTTGGGATAGAACTGGTGAAATGGAACAAGAACATAAATTGTAGTGGGTGTACGACTGTACGTGGGTACTTTTAAAATGGTTGGTTACGTTGTTTATTCTTGAAACGGTTGGTATACGTGTTTTACTCTTGAAACGGTTGGTTCACGTGGTGTACTCTGGAAACGGTTGGTTCACGTGGTTAACATTTGAAACGGTTGGTTTACGTGGTGTACTCTGGAAACGGTTGGTTTACATGGTGTACTTTTGAAATGGTTGGTTTACATGGTGTACTTTTGAAATGGTTGGTTTACATGGTGTACTTTTGAAATGGTTGGTTTACATGGTGTACTTTTGAAATATGGGGCTGTGGGGTAGCCTAGTGGTTAAAGCGTTCGCTCGTCACGCCGAAGACCCAGGTTCGATTCCCCACATGGGTACAATGTGTGAAGCCCATTTCTGGTGTCCCCCGCCATGATGTTGCTGGAATATTGCTAAAAGCGGCGTAAAACTAAACCTCACTCACTCACTCACTTTTGAAATGGTTGGTTTACCTTGTGTACTTCTGAAATAGTTAGTATACACGGTGTAAATACATGATGCGTGACATCAAATGTCATGCAAAGTGCTTTGCTGCATGTATATTTTACAAACTTTATGCAATTTTATGCTATGTATAGTTATTTTTTCCCGTGAGTATATGTATATCACCAGTGGGTGTAAATGTTGACGATATTCACAGCCTGTAAAGATCCGATACAAACGCCATTGATAAAGTAACGTGTCTAGAAGTATCCATGACGAAGTCGTCAACGTACCCTTAATCTGAGGCGGGCGTCGGTATGGAACTCCACGTCCAGGTATATATTATCGACAGACGCCGAGCGGACTAGATACTGAGGATGAGATGTGCGCTCCAGTTCAATGCGCATGCCCATCGGTGTGTCCGTCACGTTACCCACAATTCTATAGCCATATCCGGTGGGGAATTTACACCAGGGGGCGCCCTTGTCAGATACCGGAGACCATAAACAGCTGTGCCAAAGCAGAGTTCAGTTTAATTACGTGTCTTTATCGATGAATAAAGCAATTTTCTCCCAGTAATCTTATGATTTTGCTGAGAATATATCATCAAACATCCCATCATCTACCTTTAATATAGCCGGTCACCCTCTAATATGAATGTTTAGTGTGTTTCAGAAAGTGATTACTGTAATTTACAGATATATGCATGCATACAGGTATACATCATTTCATTGACATAGTCTGTTTTGTGTTTAATGTAATTCTTAATATTCCTTTGAAGATTGTGTAGAATGATGAGATTCTTACTAAGAAATCAAACCACATACCCCCTTTTTCCATGCACTTCTTTCAACATACACCCTTTCCGTCTAGTTTTAATGTCTACATACGCCCTATTCCTTACGCTTCTTCTTTCCACATACCCAACTTTCTTTGCACTTTTCCTCTCCACATACCCTCTTTTATTGCATTTCTACTCCTAACATAGCCCATTCCTTGCTATTATCCTATCTGTCTATATATCACCCTTTAGTTGCATTTCTCAATTATACATACCCCATTCCTAGCAATTATCCTATCTATACATCACCCTTTAGCTGCATTTCTCCATTATACATACCCCATTCCTTGCAGTTATCCTATCTATATATCACCTTTTAGTTGCATTTCTCCATTATACATACCCCATTTCTTGCAGTTATCCTATCTATATATCACCTTTTAGTTGCATTTCTCCATTATACATACCCCATTCCTTGCAGTTATCCTATCTATATATCACCTTTTAAGTTGCATTTCTCCATTCTACATACCCCATTCCTTGCAATTATCCTATCTATATATCACCTTTTAGTTGCATTTCTCCATTGTACATACCCCATTCCTTGCAATTATCCTATCTATATATCACCTTTTAGTTGCATTTCTCCATTATACATACCCCATTCCTTGTAGTTATCCTATCTATATATCACCTTTTAGTTGCATTTCTTCATTGTACATACCCTATTCCTTGCAGTTATCCTATCTATATATCACTTTTTAGTTGCATTTCTCCATTCTAAATACCCAATTCCTCGATATTATCTTATCTATATATCACCTTTTAGTTGCGTTTCTCCATTCTAAATACCCCATTCCTTGCAATTATCCTATCGATATATCACCTTTTAGTTGCATTGTTCCATTCTAAATTCCCCATTCCTTGCAGTTATCCTATCTATATATCACCTTTTAGTTGCGTTTCTCCATTCTACATACCCCATTCCTTGCAGTTATCCTATCTATATATCACCTTTTAGTTGCATTTCTCCATTCTACATACCCCATTCCTTGCAGTTATCCTATCTATATATCACCTTTTAGTTGCTTTTTTCCATTCTGCATACCCCATTCCTTGCAATTATTCTATCTATATATCACCTTTTAGCTGCATTTCTCCATTCTACATACCCCATTCCTTGCAATTATCATTAGACTATCTTGCAGTTATATATCACCCTTCAGCTGCATTTCTCCATTCTACATACCCCATTCCTTGCAATTATCCTATCTATATATCACCTTTTAGTTGCATTTCTCCATTAGACATACCCCATTCCTTGCAGTTATCCTATCTATATATCACCCTTCAGCTGCATTTCTCCATTCTACATACCCCATTCCTTGCAATTATTCTATCTATATATCACCTTTTAGTTGCATTTCTCCATTATACATACCCCATTCCTAGCAATTATCCTATCTATATATCACCCTTCAGCTGCATTTCTCCATTCTACATACCCCATTCCTTGCAATTATCCTATCTGTATATCACCTTTTAGCTGCATTTCTCCATTATACATACCCCATTCCTTGCAATTATCCTATCTATATATCACCTTTTAGCTGCATTTCTCCATTATACATACCCCATTCTTTGCAATTATCCTATCTATATATCACCCTTTAGCTGCATTTCTCCATTATACATACCCCATTCCTTGCAATTATTCTATCTAAATATCCCCCTTTAGTTGCACTTATCCATTCTACATAAATTTTTCCTTGCAATTCTCCTATCTTTATGCCCAGTTTACTTGTCATTCTCCTATCTGAATACATCCCTTTAGTTGCACCTCTCCATTCTACATACCCTCTTTCCTTGCACTTCTCCTCTGTACCGTCAGACTCTGGATGACAATCAACGATGACATCAGAACGCTTGCCTAGCCTGAAACTGACCAGCGAAATACACACATTGCAGAAATCATCGTTACCGGGAAGATCCAAGGGAGTGAATGAGAGACAGAGGAGGGGGTCGAAATGGGACGGAGACAGGTGTGGGGGGTGTAAAATGGGACGAAAACAGAGGAGGAAAGAATATATTGGAAGGACCACGGAGGGTCGCTAGAAAAAGTAACTGAGTTCAAAGCACGTACTCCAATGGTTTTGCGTTGTTCTTGTCCTTGTCGAAATATAGGACGATCCCACAGTAAGTGATACAGCCAGACTCACGATCAGGAACAAAGCAAACGCAATCTTCCTCTTGGCCGTGGAGCCGCCAGTAACAACATCGCTGGTCATATCTTAGTCTGAAATAAATACATTATGAAGTGTGTAAGCTTGTAGTTAGATAAGGAGAATTATTCATTTGTATTCAACAAAGTCCAGGTGTACAGTTCCATCAGTAATATACAAGAAAGACCAGTTGTACAATTCCAACAGTAACATACAAGAAAGACCACCTGTACAATTCCATCAGTAATATACAAGAAAGACCAGCTATACAATTCCATCAGTAATATATACTGGACAAAATAAGTTAGGGATATTGGTATTTTTATGATTGATATTTTATGAGAGTTGAAATGAATAAATATACCATTATTCATAATTTCAAAATTTACATATATCCCTGACTATGCTTTGTACAGTATACAAGAAGAAAGACCAGCTGTACTGCTCCATTCGTAACAAACAACTGAAGGAAGGCCAGTTGTACAGTTCCATCAGATACTTAGAAGGAAGGCCAGTTGTACAATTCCATCAGATACATAGAAGGAAGACCAGTTGTACAATTCCATCAGATACATACAAGGAAGACCAGTTATACAATTCCATCAGATATATAGAAGGAAGACCAGTTGTACAATTCCATCAGATACATAGAAGGAAGGCCAGTTGTACAATTCCACCAGATATATAGAAGGAAGGACAGTTGTACAATTCCATCAGATACACAGAAGAAAGGCCAGTTGTACAATTCCATAAGATACATAGAAGGAAGACCAGTTGTACAATTCCATCAGATACATAGAAGGAAGACCAGTTGTACAATGCCATCAGATACATACAAGGAAGACCAGTTATACAATTCCATTAGATATATACAAGGAAGACCAGTTGTACAAACCCATCAGAAACGTAGAAGGAAGGCCAGTTGTACAATTCCACCAGATATATAGAAGGAAGGACAGTTGTACAATTCCATCTGATACATAGAATGAAGGCCAGTTGTACAATTCCATCAGATATATACAAGGAAGACCAGTTGTACAATTCCATCAGATACATACAAAGAAGACCAGTTGTACAATTCAATCAGATATATAGATGGAAGACCAGTTGTACAATTCCATCAGATATAGACACAGAAGACCAGTTGTACAATTCCATCAGATATATAGAAGGAAGACCAGTTGTACAATTCAATCAGATATATAGAAGGAAGACCAGTTGTACAATTCCATCAGATACATAGAAGGAAGACCAGTTGTACAATTCCATCAGATACATACAAAGGAAGACCAGTTATACAATTCCATCAGATATATAGAAGGAAGACCAGTTGTACAATTCCATCAGATACATAGAAGGAAGGCCAGTTGTACAATTCCATCAGATATATAGAAGGAAGGACAGTTGTACAATTCCATCAGATACACAGAAGAAAGGCCAGTTGTACAATTCCATCAGATACATAGAAGGAAGACCAGTTGTACAATTCCATCAGATACATAGAAGGAAGGCCAGTTGTACAATACCATCAGATATATACAAGGAAGACCAGTTGTACAATTCCATCAGATACATAGAAGGAAGGCCAGTTGTACAATTCCATTAGATATATAGAAGGAAGGACAGTTGTACAATTCCATCTGATACATACAAGGAAGACCAGTTATACAATTCCATCAGATATATACACGGAAGACCAGTTGTACAATTCCATCAGATACATAGAAGGAAGGCCAGTTGTACAATTCCACCAGATATATAGAAGGAAGGACAGTTATACAATTCCATCAGATACATAGAATGAAGGCCAGTTGTACAATTCCATCAGATATATACAAGGAAGACCAGTTGTACAATTCCATCAGATACATACAAAGAAGACCAGTTGTACAATTCAATCAGATATATAGAAGGAAGACCAGTTGTACAATTCCATCAGATATAGACACAGAAGACCAGTTGTACAATTCCATCAGATACATACAAGGAAGGCCAGTTTTACAATTCCATCACATATATAGAAGGAAGACCAGTTGTATAATTCAATCACATATATAGAAGGAAGACCAGTTGTACAATTCCATCAGATACATAGAAGGAGGACCAGTTGTACAATTCCATCAGATACATACAAGGAAGACCAGTTATACAATTCCATCAGATATATACAAGGAAGGCCAGTTGTACAATTCCATCAGATACATAGAAGGAAGGCCAGTTGTACATTCCTGAATATATAGAAGGAAGGACAGTTGTACAATTCCATCAGATACACAGAAGAAAGGCCAGTTGTACAATTCCATAAGATACATAGAAGGAAGACCAGTTGTACAATTCCATCAGATTTATAGAAGGAAGACCAGTTGTACAATACCATCAGATACATAGAAGGAAGACCAGTTGTACAATGCCATCAGATATATACAAGGAAGACCAGTTGTACAATTCCATCAGATACATAGAAGGAAGGCCAGTTGTACAATTCCACCAGATATATAGAAGGAAGGACAGTTGTACAATTCCATCTGATACATAGAATGAAGGCCAGTTGTACAATTCCATCAGATATATACAAAGAAGACCAGTTGTACAATTCAATCAGATATATAGAAGGAAGACCAGTTGTACAATTCCATCAGATAGACACAGAAGACCAGTTGTACAATTCCATCAGATATATATAGGGAAGTCCAGTTGTACAATTCCATTAGTGATATATATAAAGGAAGGCCAGTTGTAACAATTCCATCAGATACATACAAGGAAGGCCAGTTTACAATTCCATCAGATATATAGAAGGAAGGCCAGTTGTACAATTCCATCAGATATATAGAAGGAAGACCAGTAGTACAATTCCATCAAATATATAGAAGGAAGACCAGTTGTATAATTCCATCTGATATATACAAGGAATACCAGTTGTGCAATTCCATTAGTGATATGCAAGAAAAGACCAGTTGTACAATTCCATTAGTGATATACAAGAAAGACCAGTTGTACAATTTCCATTAGTGATATACAAGGAAGACCAGTTGTACAATTCCATTAGTGATATACAAGGAAGACCAGTTGTACAATTCCATTGCCTCTTACCAACAGACGTTGTAAGGATAGCACACGTGGTTAGGCTTTCTGACGCTCAGCATTAATAACAGGAAGAAGTACTGCCAGATTCAGGTATCCATGTTAAACTGCAGCATGGTATTTCCTAGGGCAATCACAATGAAACAGACATGCACGTATTCTGTATAGATGCAAATCATCTGAGAAGACGACTTCAACCTCCTATTGCCCCACCTCACCTGTGCGAGCGCGCCTGTAGTAATGTCGGTTTACCTCGGGATTGTGTGTTCATAGAGCACAATTACAACCGCATTCGTGTTAAGATGACCTGGGCCTCCTTTCACGAAGCAACCTTTGCTAAGGTTAACCTTGACACCCTTTCTTTAAAATTGCACTAAGGTTACCTTTGTGACTCTCGATCACCTTAGTGCTTTGTCAACGGAGGCACTGACACTTTTCTCATCTTTAGAGACTATAAACTTCAAATATAAAAAGTGAATGGCGTAACCTAGTTTTAGAGTCAGTTCGTCAGGACAAAATATTCCCTCGGGGTATATCACTTAAGCTCGTGTATTGCGTCATGGGCTGACGTTGCTAGGATATTGTGAAACGCGGTGCACAATCAATTTTACTGACATACATCCCGGTATCTCGAACTTGGCACCAGTCTGTTGTAACGCGAAGATATCAAGACAAGTGAGGTATCTCACAACTTGCATAACTTTAAACTATTAATTAATGTTCAAAATGCCAATTTCTAGGACAAAGCTATACAGTCAATCGTGTGACCCTGATGAATCAATCAAAAGGCCTGTTTTGCTATCAGTTAAACAAATTCACTGCTATACAATCTGTGTTTCATACAGACACACACGCTATACCTGAGTGTCACCGCGTTACAATACACAACGCGTCAGTTAGGAGATAAACCTGCTGTGGGAAAATCAGAGGTATATAACGAAATTATAATAGCTCTAAATTTCATTGAAAACCGAAGAAGCGTAGCGTGAGGTTTTAAATGAACAATTTAGAAACTATTATAATTCGTTATATCTACAATTGACTTTTCCCACACACTAGGTTATGTTTCATGACAATACCATGAACAATTTCGAGGTGGAGCTCTTTCTTTGGTTACGAGTCAATACGTGAAGCGGCCTCGCATTCCAATCTCAAGTGGCATCGCCCGAGGCAACGGGGTGTTTGGTGGCAAGCCGTCAAGTACTAACAGACTCCAGATCCAGTAATAACAAATCACGTTTTGTTTTCAATGCATCAATCACCAATCATTAACTGATAAGTTGGAAAACATATATCAAATAAGTTTAAAAGCTTGGTTCACATTTGAAAATTCCACCGTAAGACCTTTTCCCCACCAGAATAGTGGTAGCAACCTCATGGCCTTGACCTTTTCTCGAAGTCATTGTTTACATTTACGTGCAAATTTGGAAAGATGCGACAGGCGAGCCTCTGACAGTTTCCGCAAAGGTTAACCTAATTGTATGACTGAGATAGTCTTTGATATCTAATTACTGGTACTGGTACAAAATTTAAGAGTAGGGGCGCTTTTGCTGTAACGAGAAGTCCGTGTTGTACCGAATTTAGATACTGTTGAATTTTGCGCCCTGTCAACTTGACGATTTCACGCACCTCTGCGTCTGCGTGCGGACAGCTGTAGTGACTCTTACACACTCATGTGTGTACTTTTATTATCAAATTCGATTCTACGGATATCATTTTCTACATTTTGGAAAGTGTTTTGTGACCTAGTGGCTTCAAAGTGTAGTGAATTCAAATTGAATTGGATTCGCTGGCATGTTCATGAGATCTGTTGACAAAGAACCAGATTTGTGATGATATTTCCGAAAGGGTGGATCAGGACACGAGGGTGTGCCTCTGGCATAACACACTGTTAAGGTAATTAATTATACTTTAATAGACTACTTTAGATCAAGCAGTGTAATGGATAAGAGGGATCATGGGTAAGCTAAATAACTTTTTCAACGATTATACATTTAGAAAAAAAAAAGAATATGTTGGGCTAAACAGAACGGTTTGCAGATTCTGTAGATCTAATTGTGTTTTACTACCGCTAAATTTGAAACAGTACAAATTTCAAAATATCATTTTGTTTGAATTGATAACCCAACTGTTTATTTATGTGGACGGAAGGCATTAAAATGGCATGTTAGTGGGCAGACAAAAATAGTGCATTACCGTAAACCATGTATGATTGCGCACGGAAAACAGACACCTGTATAACGCGACTATATACCTCCTGAATGACTTTAATTAACCAATCACAATCCAGTGTTTACTGGAAGTCATGGTAGAATACAAAATATACACCCGTGAAGATACGAGTTAGAATTGATCTTCAATAACCCATGCTTGTCGTAAGAGGCGGCTAAAGGGATCGGGTGGTCAGGCTCCTTGACTCTAGGGACACCCTATCATCGTATACCTATTGAATAGATCGATGCTCATGCTGTTGATCACTGGATTGTCTGGACCAGACTCGATTATTTTCAGACTGCTGCCATATAGCTGGAATATTGCTGAATGCAGCGTTGAACAACAAACAAACCAACAAGAAACACATGCAATAGGACCCGTATAAAATATAGTGTCCAGACATCCCACACGGGGTTATGTGACCTTGAACAACAACTTGTGATATGAGAAAAAAACTACGTGCAACTACGTTAACGGGTATATTTGCTTATATATTACATCATATACAGGTCGAAATGCGTACAGCGACTACTGTTACAACAACGGGTGAGTGAGTGAGTATGGCTTTTACGCCGCTTTTAGCGGGTGGTGGTGGTGTGGTTCACTCATGCAGAGGAATCAAACCCGGATCTTTGGCGTGACGAACGTACGCTATAAGCACTAGAGCTACCCCACCTCCCCGGTTGCAGCAAGCTCAGATTAGTGGTCCCTCAGATTTCGTTATAACCATAATTCAGTATATGTGATAGGGTAAAAGAGTAAAATTGTACCAAAAAATTATTAAACATTTTAAAAATATACAAACATAAGTGCAGATACAGTTAACAGGTTATTATTCACATGAAGAGTATGTGCAGTTAACATGGCTGTGCTCACATGCATACAGGTATGCGGGGATCTCAAACGTATCACACGCGGAGGCCGCCATTATTTACATTTGCCCAGTTTTTTGTACAGTGAAAGTGGCTCTGGTTATCTGTGTCAAGGTCGTTTACGTGACTGCCGAAGGTGTACAGTGATGACCTGAAAGACATTGAGATCGTATTCCACAGCAACTGTGGTGCCAGGAATTGATAAACAAGTTTCTGAACCATATTTTTATTTCCTTCAAATGGTATTACTTAGGTAAATTGACTTGATGATTATAGAAAAAAGATGGACGGTTGTTGCTATGACAACGTTATATGTTGCCTATGAATCCTGAATGGTATGGGGAGAGTTCTCATATCTGCACATAGCTTGTCTCTCAGGAACAGGCCCTATCCTGAGTGAGTGTCCGTGCGCCCGCACAGGAGCGTACGTGCTTGCGTCCGGTCCTAAGTACAGGCCCGAAGCCGCGAGTGAGTGTATGTGCGTCCGCAAGTGCATTGCGTGTATTGTGTCCGGTCCTAAGTACAGGGCCCGGATCCCGAGTGAGTGTCTGTGCGTGCGTCGTGCGTACGTGCATGCGCGTCCGCTTCCGCAAGCTCTTACATCCGAACTACCTCAGATCCTGCTGACGGCGGGTTGTGATATATTTACATTAACGACAGGACGTCAAAATTGTTTGTATCACTATTGATCAACTGGCCGATAATTGAAATGTGACAATATAAACGTCTCAGAGAAATGTCAACTAAGGGGCAAATGTGTATGATGAAGATCGCCACGTGTCAGTTAAAACACTGATCAGGCTGTCCATAGTTTTGATGTTCATTTCTTCGATTCGTTCACTTGGATCGGTCGGGCGACGGTATTCCTGAATTGGCGTGCAAATAGACACTCAAACTTGTCCCATTTATTGCTAACGCGTTACGGTTTGCGTTCAAAGGGTCAAACTGATCACACAACACTCCCAGCAATGATTCATGCTTGTAAACTCTCAAGGGGCTTTTCACGAAAGTGGAAGTAATCCGTCAGTGTTAACGTCATTTCAAGAATTCAGTCACGTGACAACAACGTTAATTTTATGGTCCTGTGACCGACCTATCATCTGATGAAGGAGCAAAATACCGGGTACACCTCACATCCAAAAATATCTGCTTTTAACTACCAGCTGTTTAGTTTAATTACAGCACTCCTTTTCTGAAAGTATGCTTGCATTTGTTAATTTGTACAATCCATTAATACAAGCGGTGTGTGTGTGTATTGTGTGTGTGTGTGTGTGTGTGTGTGTGTATGTGTGTGTGTGTGTGTGTGTGTGTGTGTGTGTGTGTGTGTGTGTGTGTGTGTGTGTGTGTGTGTTTTCTTCTGATTCGCTTGATTGAATGTAACACCTGGGATTATTCTTTCTTAGTAAAGTTCAGATTCTAGTAGTTTTTAGGGTTGAGTCCCATAGGGGGATTCGGATCCACGCCCTCAGAGTCAGGCGCGTAATCGCCAGCATAAAAAGTCAGCGATCAAACTCACTCAGCCACTGTGGCTTCCACAAAAATGAAAGTAGGACAGTTGGTTGTCTACATAGCATACTGTTGTTGTACCCCTCTAACAAGTAGAAATGGGCACGGCTCCAAAGTGGTTAACATAAAATAGAGTGAAAGAACATTCATTTTAAGCCTCAGCTTTATATATCATTCGTTTTACGTGTCTGAATGACACATTACATCATTTTCATGAGTGAAATCACATGAAATAATAGGAGGAAGTTTAATGTCCCATAGTATAAACACGTGGTACTTAAGATTACAGTGATATATTAAAGAGGGTGACATATTGCTAGTTATGCAGTGAGTGAGTGATTTTAGTTTTACGCTGCACCCAGCAATATTCAGCTATATGGCGGCAGTCTGTATATAATCGATTCTGGGACCAGACAATGCAGTGATCAACAACATGAGCATCAATCTACGATCAAATAGGATACGATGACATGCGTCAACCAAGTCAGCGAGCCTGACCACCCGATCCCGTTAGTCGCCTCTTACGACAGAAGCATGGGTTACTGAAGATCGATATTCTAACCGGAATTTCACGGGTGCTAGTTATGAGATAACAGGGAGAGTTTAATGTAGGATAGTATAGAAGCAAGTGGTATTAAAAAGTACACCGATATATTGGATGTTGACATGTGCTGGTTATGAGATAATAGGGGACGGGGAAGGTTTAATGTGGCATGGTATAAACAAGTAGGTATTAAAAATCACAGTGATATATTGGATGTGACATGTGCTGGCTATGAGATAATAGAGAGACAGTTTAAAAGAGTAGCATAGTATAAACAAGTGGTATTAAAAATCACAGAGTGATACATTAAAGAGTGACATGTGCCGGTTCCGTAGACACGATTATGATATCGTGACATTGCTACATTATGAACAGCTGCCATGTTTGATGAAACTACATACCTGAATGCTGAATATAGCCATGTTTGTAGCGTTAATCTCGAACAGTCATCGGGTATAGTTTCTGGTGATAGTGTCTTAACATTCGACCTAGGAGCGGTGGGGTAGCCAAATGGTTAATGCGTTCGTTGGTGCACCAGGCCCTGGTTTGATTCCCCACGTAAGTTACAATCTTCTGGGCCCATTTCTGGTGTCTCTCGTCGGGATGTTGCTGGAATATTGCTAACAGCGGCGTAAGACCACGCTCGCTCACTAACATTCGACTCTCGTGAAGATGCGGGTTAGTATTGGTCTTCAGCAACCCACATGATTGGCATAAGAGCGACTATAGCAGAGACCGGGTGATCAGGCTCGCTGACTTGGTTGACATACGCAATTTGGATAATTCAGATTCTACTTTCATGTATCCCGTCCGTACAGACTGAGTTGAAAATTGGGACACAGATGAAAACAAGATATTGAAGGTGTTTCAGTCCTGCATAGAAGTTCCGGGATGTGTGAATGTCGGGCGACAGGTTCAAGTCTTATTTGCCTGTATCGTGCAAACAGGAATGTTTGCATATCCTAGAAAGAACCCGCCATACTGCAGATTAAACTGCGGATTTACAGCCAGACATGACAGTACATTACCTTGGGGATATCGTTGCTCTCACGTCTTACGATGGTCGGGACTTCTCAAGGTTGAGACGAGGACATACCGGTTATAGTCAGGTGGCACCAAGTTGTATACAACTGTAAAGAGGGTGAGGGTGTTATAGTAATGAGGAGGCTCTATGTCGCGGGCTTGGGAAGGGGATGGTTGGCGGGTGGAGAGGGTCCTGTAGGGAGGTAGCTACCATAATAATAAAAGCCTGGGCTTACACAAGATTGTTGCTAAAAGGTCGGGCAAGCCTCAATCCTATCTGAATATAAGCTTTGCAACATATCGGGCTTACACGAAAAACTGGCTTGCTACGCGCCTGCGGGTGTTGGAGGGCGTTGTAGCAATTATTGCAATATATGTTCACATACATGTCAGTCGTCTAACAATTAATACAGGCGAATCCTGATGGCATACAGATGTAGCACACATTGTGTTGCCCCAGGCTTTAACTCATGTGCATTGTTTACGCAAGACACTGTTTCTCGCGTAAACCCCCACAAACACAGGCACACTGAGCAGTAATTGTTGTGTCATTGGCAGTCGCATACCTTGGTGTTCATATGCTTCCTACAAACTTAGACCCACTGGTTGTGTTATGGCTGTCACTTACCTTGGTGTACAACGCATCTATCGGGGAGAAGAGTCCTGTTGGAATACCGTTCAGACTCCGCACTGTAGCCTGTATGATAACGGGGCGAGACAGTGCACTGACTCCTAACCCAGCGTGTTTGTCGGTAAACACGGCTTGACACACGGCCTTGTGATATGGGAATTGTGGTGTACATCTATATTTATGCAATACATACATTGTATCTGCAGCTGTTACCCATGTTCCAAATGATATGGAACTATCAGAACAACTTTGATTAAATTTCCTGTATTAAATAGGTTCACTTTGTGTTTTAAAGCCGACCATGCGTGACCTGATTGCACAGATCTGACTGGTTGTTCCCGTTGTCATCAAGACGGCTGTGGTATCTCCCCAATCCGCGGCATCCACGAGGAGTGCTTTGGTAGCGGATTAATAATCATGATGCGATGGTAATACTAACAGTCTGAGTCTGTAGGTCATTCTAGGGTATGCGTGTCACATGCTCCTCTTTCATGTTTGTATCGACCTGTGAAGATCCGGGTTAGAATTGATCTTCAGTAACACATGCTTGTCGTAAAGAGACGACTAACGGATCGGGTGGTCAGACTCGCTAAGTTGGTTGACATATGTCATCGTATCCCAGTTGCTTAGATCGATACTCATGCTGTTGATCGCTGGATTGTCTGGTCGATTATTTACAGGCCGCCGCCATATGGATAGAGAATATTGCTCAGTGCGGCGTAAAACTAAACTCACTCACTTACTTATGTCGTAACATGTTACAATGAGTGATTCCGGTTTTACGCCGCTTTTAGCAATACTTCAATATTACAGAAGAGGCACCAAAATGTGCTTCAAACACTGTACCTATGATGGAATCGAACCCGGGACCTCGAACGCTTTAACTACTGGGCTGTCACGCCACGCTGTAACACCAGTGCCAGGTTATCCATGTCCCGTCCACACCCCCACCTTAGCCCGCTTCTTACCCTGATAGGCAAACCTTAGCTCCACACTTTCATCTACCCATGCTGGAAGCAACGCTGTCACTCTTCAACCTGTCTCCCTCCATTATCTCCATGTTATTCCAAGAAGGTCACTCCCTTCACATCTCCTCAGTCTGTTTCTTCTTGTGATTACTCACATTGCCAAAGACATTCGACTTTTACGTGATAACCAACAAATCCAGAGATAATCTGACATTTATGTGATGAAGGGTGGTGGGGGTAACCAAGTGGTAGAAACGTCAGCTTGTCACGCTGAAACCCGGGTTCGATTACCCACATGGGCACAATGCGTTAGACCCATTTCTGGTGTCCCCGTCGTGATATTGCTGGAATATTGCTAAACGCGGCAAAAAACATACTCACTCACTAACTTTATGAGGATGACTAACACTCCCAAAGATGTCTGACATTTATGTGATTACTAATATTGCCCAAGACATCTGACCTCATGAACGTCGACATTGCTGTTCCTACAAACCAACAAGGAGTGAAACATGTGTCATTTGATATGTAATGTATATGTCCACCGATAGAGGCAATATGTGCATATGTCTTTATCGGGAAGTTACACATACATACTTAACACATACACACAGGTGATTTGGAGAATATTGGACTCATGTAGCTGCGGCAAACACAATACAAACGTACTATTTCTTCCAAAACGCCATCTTTGTTGTTTAACAGCGTCAGGGCCCAACTTTTCCCCTTGTTTTAGAAACAAAATAAATACTCGCCAAAACATCACAAAGAAAACAGGCAAAATAAAATGCGCGTGCAATGTAAGCATGCGGTATCGATCACTGTAAAAGGTAAACGTGTTAATTTTGTCATTCGTTTTGCCTGGAAAAGAGGACATCGTCATGCCACGACTGAGTACCGCTAATCGAAAGATCGCCATAGGCCGCCTTGAAGCTGGGGAGTCGCGGTCTGCAGTTGCCCGACATTTCAACGTTCATCAGAGTACAATGTCTCGCCCTTGGGATCGTTTCCTGCAGACCAATTCCGCCCAAGATCGCCCGAGAAGCGGCCGTCTTTAGAAGAGTTACCACCCAAGACCAGAGCCGCTACATCCGGGTTGCTCACTTGTGTCATCGTCTTCCCACAGCCGGAGCCCGCATAACGCATCCCTGGTTTCGGAAGTGTTTCTGACCAAACTGTCAGGAATCAATTGCGTGAAGTGGGGATTGGACCAAGAAGGCCAGTTATCGCTTGCGTTTTGAGAGACCTCAATCGGCGCAATCGCTTGAGGTGGTGTGGTAGAGTCCGGAACTGGAACCTTACTGGAGGCGAATCTGGTGGTTCTGTGATGAATCATGACTTACTCTTCACCGGCGAGATTGAAGACAGCGTGTTTACCGTCTGAGGAATGTTTTGCCTCTAATTGCATTTGACGAGCTGACTTATTCGGTGGATACAGTGTCATAGATATCCAGGGTCCCGTTCCTCAAAGCGATCGTAGCGCTACGACTATCGTAAGTCTATGTTAAAGTATGGAAGTTACGATCACCTTGGCGCTACGATCGCTTTCAGGAACGGGGCCCAGCACACAAAGATCCGATTTAGTGGTGGTTCATGGGACATTGACAGCAAATCGGAAGATCAACGAAATCTTTGCACGTTACATGATTCCGATTATGGAGCGACAGAGGAGTTTATGCGTGACAACGCTACTTCACATACTGCTCGCTACCTTGCCAGTTCTAACGTCAGTGTCTTGCCATGGCCTTAACAATCACCAGATCTAAACCCGATAGAACACCATAGGGATGAACTCGATCGACGTGTTCGTCACCGTCAAAACAAGCTTCAGTTGGCAAACTCTTTGTCTATAGACGTTTGAATTTTCACATTTTCATCATCTTAGAGGTGTTGTATGTTTTGAATCTATTTGAAAATTTCTTAAGACCCTTATAAAGTCCGTGTACTATTCAAAGACGTCACTTTATATCTGTTGTCCTAAAGATGAATGAGTGAGTGTAGTTTTACACCGCTTAACCAATACTCCAGTAAGACTCTTATGTGGGGTAGTGTACTCCCCATATCCAGTGCTTCTTATGTGGGGTAGTGTACTCCCATATCCAGTGCTTCTTATGTGGGGTAGTGTACTCCCATATCCAGTGCTTCTTATGTGGGGTAGTGTACTCCCATATCCAGTGCTTCTTATGTGGGGTAGTGTACTCCCATATCCAGTGCTTCTTATGTGGGGTAGTGTACACCCATACCCAGTGCTTCTTATGTGGGGTAGTGTACACCCATATCCAGTGCTTCTTATGTTGGGTAGTGTACTCCCATATACCCAGTGCTTCTTATGTTGGGTAGTGTACTCCCATATCCAGTGCTTCTTATGTTGGGTAGTGTACTCCCCATATCCAGTGCTTCTTATGTTGGGTAGTGTACTCCCATATCCAGTGCTTCTTATGGGTAGTGTACTCCCCATATCCAGTGCTTCTTATGTGGGGTAGTGTACTCCCATATCCAGTGCTTCTTATGTGGGGTAGTGTACTCCCCATATCCAGTGCTTCTTATGTGTGGTGTAGTGTACTCCCATATCCAGTGCTTCTTATGTGGGGTAGTGTACTCCCATATCCAGTGCTTCTTATGTGGGGTAGTGTACTCCCATATCCAGTGCTTCTTATGTGGGGTAGTGTACTCCCATATCCAGTGCTTCTTATGTGGGGTAGTGTACTCCCATATCCAGTGCTTCTTATGTGGGTAGTGTACTTCCCATATCCAGTGCTTCTTATGTTGGGTAGTGTACTCCCATATCCAGTGCTTCTTATGTTGGGTAGTGTATTCCCATATCCCATATCCAGTGCTTCTTATGTTGGGTAGTGTACTCCCCCATATCCAGTGCTTCTTATGTGGGTAGTGTACTCCCATATCCAGTGCTTCTTCTTATGTGGGGTAGTGTACTCCCATATCCAGTGCTTCTTATGTGGGGTAGTGTACTCCCATACCCAGTGCTTCTTATGTGGGGTATCCCGTACCCAGTGGGGTAGTGTACTCCCGTATATGCCAGTGCTTCTTATGTGGGGTAGTGTACTCCTGTAAGCTTTTCTTGTGGTTACCTCAAAGTGTATAATACTTTGTGCTTACTTGTTCCCATATGTTGTACGACTGGCTCGCGCTTCACCAACTTACCAGCACGAAACTGCTACACAAATACAGCAGAAAGAAGAAAAATCACATAAGAGTAGTTCCTGCTGATACAGATTTATTCTTATACATCATGGTCATGGTGTCGAATGCGAGAATGCAAGCACACGATACAAAGTCAGGCATGCTCAAGTTCATATTTCATATTCACCGCAACATCACACATGCTGACATTTCAATACTCGGTGTTTCGCAATCTGACATTCCAACAACAGTTCACAGCATCAGGAATAACGGTGCATTACATTCCGAAATATACAGACATAGCAAGTGTTTGCAGGCAACAAAACACGGAAAATATGCAATTTCCACCAATGAGAAATATGAACAGTAGTGATTGATAGAATAGCAAGTTACCTGCGACTCAAGTGACACAAAGTGTCTACTATAACTACCAAATCTGCGGACTTAGAATTTTTACTGCCTCTGTCCAGCCATCTCAACACGTCAGCACCTCGACGTCATCGCACGGGGTCCCGCAGAGTCCAATGCTTCATTGTAAAGGTTAGGGCAAATTCATCACATAGAATTGCAGCCCCGGGTCACACGAGGTCATTTCCGGTGTCAAAGTCAACATGTCTATGGAACTGCAGTCCGATCTCAGTGAGCCCAATTAATTAGACCACAAAAATATCTCATTACGCTCCCATACCCAGGGCTGCTTATGCGGGATAGTGTACTCCCAATATCCAGTGCTTCTTATGTGGGGGTAGTGTACACCCATATTCAGTGCTTCTTATTTGTGGTAGTGTACTCCCATACTCAGTGCTTCTTATGTGTGGTAGTAAACTCCCAATATCCAGTGCTTCTTATGTCTGGTAGTATACTCCCAATATTCAGTGCTTCTTATGTGGGGTAGTGTACTATACCCAGTGCTT